TTAGTGCTCATTTCCTGTAGCCCAGGGTTGGCACACTGCTAATGGTAAGGGCCACGAATAAGCAGTTTTGACTAAGGCCACGTGACCTCCATCACAGCTCTTCAACGGTATCCTTGTAGCTCTAGACCTGACAGAGATGACCTGTGAGCTAGGGGTGTGGTGTGGCTCTACTTCTAAAAGAATTGATTTGAAAAGTGTTATTCTTCCTTTGACTTTAAAAAAAAAAATCATTTTAAAATGCAGAGACTGTTCTTAACTCGGGGACTGTATAAATACAGGCAAGGGGCCATCATTTGCCAGTCCTGCTCTGGCCTCTTGCTATGCAAAATGCAGTTCATGGACCAGCTGTGTCAGCCTCACCCGAGAGCGTGGTGAAAATGCAGAATTTTAGGGACCACCCAGAGTGACTGATCTGAAGTCTGTATTTCAGCAAAAATCTCTGGATGACCTCTGTGCACTTTAAAGTTTAAAACAAATACTGATGCCTGATTGTCACCCTGGATTGGGCTATAACAGGTGTGGTTGCCGCCTGGACACTGGGACTTTGTAAAGCTCCCTGGCAGATTCTGATGTGTCCCAGGAAGATCCCCAGGGAGAGAGGGCTGCCCCCACCACACCTGGCTCCCAAAGACCCCTGGTCACTCCTCCTTGACAAAACTCGTCACCGTGTGAGCTCAGGCCATGCCCTGAGCGCCACCAGGACCAAGACTCCATGCAATCTTAACAGACACAGGAGCTCAGACAAGATGCCTGCCCTCTCAGGAGTCAGTCTCCTCCTTAGGATGGATGAGATGGGCTCTGAGTGCTTTTGTAGCCATGAAGACACTCTCCCTTGGGAATTCCAATGGTTAGGACTCGGCGCTTTCACTGCCAGATGCCCAGGTTTAATCCTAGGTGGGGGACCTAAGAGGCACCCCCCAGCTGGCTCAGCAGTAAAGAATCTACTTGCAATACAGGAGACAGAGGTGACGCGGGTTTGATCCCTCGGTTTGGAAGATCCCAAAAGGAAGAAATGGCAACCCACTCCAGCATTCTGGCCTGGAAAACTTCATGGACAGGGGAGCCTTGGAGATTAAGAGCCCACAGGTTTGCAAAGGGTCGGATGCAACTGAGCATGCACCCTCAGGGAACTAAGATCCTCCAAGCCATGGCCAAAAAAAAAAAAAAAAACCCCAAAACAAAACCACTGTCCCTTGACCCCAGAGAAATAGTAGGGAAGACACTCCTGGCCTCTCTCCAACCCCCAGCTTCTCCCTGGCTTGGGGCTCAGAGTCCTCAGACTGACTCGGAGCTTCCCAAGGACTCTGGGGGCAGCGGGGACAAAAAGAGGCAACCTCACCCCACTCAGTCCCATTTGTCACATTCAGCAGGTCCCACTGAGCCCCAGGGATGGCCAACAATCCCCTCTTTCCAACCCCCTGCCCTCTCTCCCACTGAGTCCCACAACCCCAGGCCCATCTCCTTCCTCTGCCTTCCATGGTCCCCTGACCCAGGATTTCCCTGGAGAAGAGGGTGAGGGAGGGGTGCACCAGGCTGGCTCAGGGCCCCGCACCCCACAGGCATGGCTCTGAGTCTCTCCTCCCTGCAAGGCCCCTACCGCATGGAGCCTCCCACCTCCTGGAGCCCCCAGCCCAATACGTGCGCAGCCCTAGACTTCTGAATCCTGGAAGAGGCCCCGAGAACACATCCCTTTTCACACATACGGGAGACCAAATCTCAGAGGAGGAGGGACTCACGCCCAGGACAGTGAAGACCAGAAACCCCCCTCTCCCCCCTCCCCTCCTACCTCCCCTTCCCCTCCCCCATACCTCCCCTCCCCCCAGAGGGCTTCTCCCTCTGCACCAGTTGCCCCAGGCGGGGAAGGAAGAATGGGGCGCTGAGGTTTGTGGGAGATGGACAGCCAGAGGGGTCTGCTGGAACCACCTCCGTGCCAAGGAGCCTGCTTTTTGACCGAAGACAGTGTGACAGGGCCCTGCGTCCTCCCTTCCCCTGTCGGCACGACCTCCCGGCCCCGTGGAGGCCAGAGTGGGCAGCTGTGGCCCTCACACCCCTCCCAGCACACAGTAACAGAAACGCTTGCCATTTACTGAGCAGCTACTATGTGCCAGGCACTGTGCTTAAGCACTGTGACTTTGAGGTAGTGCTTCCATTTAATAAGTGATCAGAATGAGGATCAGAGAGGTTAATCAGCCGGACGAAGGTCACACAGAAAGGAAGGGAGTGGTAGGGGAGGGATGGTAGAAAATAGTACTGAGACCAGGCATCTCAAGAGATTTGAAACTAGAAGGCATCTCAGAGATTTCCTCCTCAATCCCTGGAATTCAAACTCAGGTCTGTCTGTGTCTGTTTCCCGGGGGCTCTCAGACCAGGTTGGCAGCAGGCCACAGGGGCTGTGTTCATGTCTGTCCCTGCAGCTGATCCCTCAGAGGTACTGGTTCCAGGAGAGAGGATGAGCTGGAGGACAGATATGGCCACACCGAGGAGGCTCAGCTGCCCTCCCGGGCTGCAGCTGTCTTTTGTCCCAAGACCTCCTCACATCACAGTGAATGCATGTGCTTTGGGTTCAGCAGTCCTGGGACTGAATTCTTGCTCTGTGTACCCCTGGAACTGAGTTTCTCCTTCTGTGCAGTGGGAGTACCTAGCTAACAGCGCTGCCAGAAGCAATGGAAAGAAGTTGTGGAGAGGGCCTCACACAAGTGATAAAGAAACAGTAACCACACTGTTTGGTGTTTCCCCTCCTGTGAATTCTCCCTCTCCTGGGAGCAAGCTTTTCCTCAGAAGGAAACAGAAGGCACAGAACCTCCTGGAATGTGACAAGGCTCCTTGGGCTGAACCCTGAGTATTAGCCCTTCTTTAATTAGCCCTCAACTAAAAATAATGCCCCCCGCCCTGCCACCCTGGGCTGTGTACCTACTTCCCAGGTGGGGCTGAACTTATGAATCTGGGAGTTGAAAGGGGAGTGCAGGGTCGGAGAGCAGGGAGCAGCCAGCCTGTGAGACAGAACCTAGAAGACAGGCGGGTGCAGAGAGCCGGAGGCTTTATTGAAGGAGATACAGAACCGGGTGAGGGCTCCTGCCATCAGCCAGACCATGGCCTCCATCACCCTCACACCATCAGGGACTCCTGGACACCCGTCCGTCTCCCTCCCCTGCCCCTGGACAACACAAAGGGAATCTTACCCCAGACTCATCAGAGGTGCCCAAGAGGGCCTCCAGAGTTCTGTTCAGGAGAGGGTTGGGGCGGGGGGACAAAGGACAGCCCCTCCCGGGCAGTCATGGACAGTCCCGTCACACCGGTCCATCCATCTCTCCACTGGCCGGCCTGTTTGTGCCCGGGTCGGCCCCCATCACTTGCAGCTCTGGAGCCGGGTCCTATGGTGCTTCTCCTCGGTCAGCAGCGGGATGAAGGTGTCGCTGTGGGACAGCTTCAGCCGGCTGCTCCAGCTCGGGCCCTCCTTCCCGGCGGGCTCCGGCGGTGGGAGGTGGTCCAGGTCGCCGCGGGAGCCCCCTGCCTTGCCCTCCCCGGAAGTGCCGGAGTTGAGCTCCATCAGCTCCAGCTCGTGCCTGGCCGCCGTCTCCAGGACTCGCTGCTTGTTGTAGTATCTGACAAAGTTGTTGATGATGGGATGAATGGGCAGGGCAATAGCAATAACCCCACACAGGAAGCTGATGGCCGCATTGAGCTTGCCCAGGGTGGTCTTGGGGTAGATGTCACCGTAGCCCACCGTGGTCATGGTGATGATGGCCCACCAGAAGGACTGGGGGATGCTCTTAAACAGGGTCTCCGGGTGGCTCTGCTCCATGGTGTAGCCCAGGGCGGAGAAGACGAAGATGCCCACGGCCAGGTACATGAGCAGCAGCCCCAGTTCCTTGAAGCTGCGCTTGAGGGCGTAAGTGAGGGTCTGCAGCCCGGAGGAGTGGCGCGCCAGCTTGAAGATGCGGGCGATGCGCATGATCCGCAGGGCCTGCACCGCCTGCTGCACGTTGGTCAGCTCCATCATGCGGGCGCCCAGGTGCGTGAGCGTGAGGCTCACGTAGAACGGGAGGATGGCCAGCACATCCACGATGTTCATGAAGGACAGGGCGAAGTGCAGCTTGTTGGGCGAAGAGAAGAGACGCAGCAGGTACTCCAGCGTGAACCAGCCGATGCACGCCGTCTCCACGTTCTCCAGCGTCGGGTGCTCCACGCGGTTGCCCTCGGCGTCCAGGACCTGCAGCTCTGGGATGGTGCCCATGCACATGACCACCGACGAGACGAGGATGAGCAGGAAGGACAGCACGGCCACCACGCGCGCCGGACACGAAGACTCGGGCTTCTCCAGGAACTTCCAGACGCACTTCTGGCAGCGGCGCCAGCGGCCCTCGGCCGTGTCCACGCCCAGGTCGTCCAGGATGAGCTGCACGCGGCGCGCGATCTCCTCCAGCTCCTCGCGCTTCTCGCTCAAATGGCTCTTGCAGCAGTCGTCCAAGAACTTGAGGTCCACCTTCCAGAAGTCCATCTCGTTCTTGAAGCAGATGGGACAGATGCCCTTCTTCATGTGCACCTCTCCGAAGTAGTAGACCTCAATGACACATTTGAAGGCGTCCGGGTCCCTGTCGAAGTAGAACTCGCGCTTCCCGGGGTCGTAGTCGTCGCACAGGGAGAAGATGGTGTCGTAGCCCCCGGCCAAGCAGTGGATGAGCTCGGCCAGCCGGGTCTCGGGGTACCGGCTCAGGAGGTCTCCGTACAGCACCTGCCGCACGCCCCCCACGTTGACCACGATCTCGATGTCGTCGCCCGCCCTGGAGTCCTGGCTGCCCGGCTCCGGGAGGCTGCGCTCCCCGGTCCCGTCCATTCTCCTGGCGTGTGCCCGCGCGGCCTCGGCTCCGCGCCCTGCAGCCGCCGCAGGGTCGGCGGGTCCCACCGGTGCGCGGACCCCGGGGAAGCCTGGCCGGCGTCCGCCTGCCTGGAAGCGCGGTCACAACCGGCGGCTGCGGGCTGGGGCGCGCCGCGGGGGAGGCATGCACCCGGCGGCGGCGGGGGTCCCGGTGGGCATCCGGGCGCTGGAGGCGCGCCGGCGGTGCGGGGCGGTGGGGGGCGGGGGGAGGTTCTCGCGGCCACCTGCCTCGCCCCGAGCACTCACCCCGGCTCCCTGGTGCTGCGATGCGCCTCTTCGGCTCGGCCTCTTGCAGCAGTGGGATCCCCCTTCGTGGGCGGCAGGCAGGGTCCTGGGTCTCCAGGCGCGCGGGTCCCCGCGTGCGCCCTCCGCGCGAGACGTGTCCCGTCGCTGCCGGACCCACACCGCCCGCCGAGGTGTGCGGAGAGAGAACTTGGGCTTGCTTTGCCCAAGCCGTTTCTAAACACAATAGGAATTCCAGCCTGACGTCAAGAGCTTTTCAGACTGTACCCTCTTCTGGTGAAATTCTGCAAGGCACGCGCGGCAGCGGCAGGGGAACGGGTTAACCCTTGGGCAGACGGGCACAGCTGCGCGCCCGCCGCCACCGCCGCGCTCCTGTCCTCCCCTCCTGGCGCCGCGGGTAACCCGGTAGCCTGGACCTCCGGCTTGAAAGCGACAGGCCGGCGCTGGCTGAAAAGTTTCTCTCTCTCTCTGCATCAAGAAGATCGATGATGAGAGAAAACAGCCGCCTGTTGCTCGGCCCGCAAACCGTGCCCAAGAGAGCCCTTCAGACACCCTCCCGCGCGTCCCGGGCGCCGGTCCCGCCTGGTCCCGGGGTGCGGGCGTCACTTACGACCTTCATCCGAGTGCTGTACAACGGCGACAGCCAGTCCAGCCCCATGGAGGAGAAAAGGGACCTGCCCAAGGTCACACAGTGAAATGGGAATGGAATCCAAGGTGGGCGCCTCTTCCTCCAGAGATTTCCTGCTGTCCTGGCTAACTGACACACGCTCCTTAGCGGACTGAAAGTCTGCTTCGAAGTTCTCGCTGTCCACCACTTCACATTTCTTTGCAATCCAACATCACCACCAAGCTCCAGAGCCTTGAACCCCCAGACTCCCACCTCCCCATCCCCATCCTCTGTCACCCAGGCCAGCGTGTCCCTCCCACGAAAGGTCCCACACCCTCCCCTCTCTTCCAGACTTGCAGCCTCTGCCTGCACCATTCCAGCAGCAGCAGCATCTACCCTGCAAATTTTCAAGCATCACCTGTGAACCGGGGACTGTGTTAACAAAAATATTGTAAAGAGAGGGAAGAGGAGGCAGAGCACAGGGAATTTTTAGGGCAGTGAAACTACTCTGTATAACACTCTAGCGCTGGGTACATGTCATCCTATGTTTGTTTAAACTGTGGAGTGTGCCACACCAAGAGTGGACATCAGCGTAAACTATGGACTTTGCATGATAAAGATGTGACAGTGTTGTTTTATTGATGTAACAGATGTACCTCTGGTGGGAGAGGCTGAAGGAATGAGGGGGCAGGGAGTATGTGGGAACTCTCTGTCTTACTGTTTACTTTTGCTATGAACCTAAAACTGTTCTTTAAAAATCTATTAAAAATATATTCTGTAGGCTGGGTCACTGACAGTACTTTTTTCTTCTTCTTTAATAAGATCATGTAAAACTGAATATGTTAAAATACATCACAAGATAGTTTGGTGAAACTTCTTTTTACAGATTTTATTTTGTTTCCATTTAAAATCAACCTATGATGTGTTACTACAGAATAAGAAACTGAGATTCAGAAAGGTTGAGTAAAAATAACAGTTATTATAAATGCACCATGAGCCAAGCACTTGCATCTCCATAGCATCCCTCTGAGGATGCAAGATGTCAGGTAACCTGCCTGAAGTGCTCAGCCAGAAGGTGGCGAAGTTGCGATGGGAACCCTGGGAGCCTGCTGCCCCAGTCCACAGGCTTCACCTCCCTGTCCAGGTTGCTCAGCTGCAGCGGGGAGCTGGAATTTGACCCCACGCCGATTCTTCTCTCTGATGTAGTGCGGCACACGCCTCCTGCACACGCCCCATGACCATCTTCCAGGACTTACTCATCTTATTTCCCTTTTCTGTTGTCTTCTCTTGCACCCTAGTACCTCCAGGGTCAAGTTCAAATTGCATCTTAGCCTAGCTTAATGGGCTATTCAAATATTTATTAACATCTAATCACACACACACACACACACAACACACACCTACCCCGATGGGGGGCAGGGTTCATATTCCAGTGGAGAATATATTTTTGAATAACTAATAATCAGTTTGCCCTCATCACAGGCTTCCCAGTGGCTCAGTAGGTAAAGAATTTGCCTGCAATGCAGGAGACGTGGGTTTGGTCCCTGGGTTGGGAAGATCCCCTGGAGAAGGGCACAACAACCCACTCCAGTATTCTTGCCTGGGAAGTCCCATGGACAGAGGAGCCTGGTGGGCTACATTCCATGGGGTCGCACAGAGTCCGACATGACAAGTGACTGAGCAGGCACGCAGGCAGCCGTTTACCAGAGGTACATGAAAGGAGTGGTGGTTCCTGAATTCACCTGCCTGGGGCATCAGGTGGTGGTTGCGGGTTTGGAAGGCTGAGAAAAGGTTAGAAGATGAAGAGACTGCATTTGCTTAGAATCACAGCAATTTTTGGCTAAGGTGTGCATTTGGGGTGTGTGATGGGGACCCCTCAAACAGGCTGAACCACCCCCTGGCCACCCCTTGATATGGTCATGAGGTCCAAGGTGCTACAGGAGCCCAGGAGTCCACAGACAGCTCCAAGGCTCACCAGAGTTGGAGGCTGGGCAGGTGCTGGCACTGAGCCTTGAGTATGAGGGCCTCACCTGGGTGACCTACCTCACCCTGGGGAGAGAATCCTGTGCCGAGGAAGGCACTTGGCTGGTAGCCCCAAGAAACTGATGGATGAGGCTAGAAACAGGCTGCACAGAACCTCGTGGGTCCTGCAAGGAGTATGGACAATAAGCCAGTTTTTCAGACCTTGGGTAGTTCATTGGTTGTGCAATCAATTTATTGAGTACTGACCATCATTTTTATCGAGATAGTATGGAACAGGAAACGTCAGAGTGCATCAGACATGGTAAAAATAAGTATGGCTTAAATTCTCGAGAGTGACCAGAGGCTGACTGCATGTGGTCCATTCAGCACATCTCAGGGCCCTACAGGGAAGAAAGCTGGTCCTGAAAGAAAGCAGGAAAGGAGGAGGAGACAGATGCAAAATACAGCTGAGAAAATGTCCCCAAACAGCCCAGAGGAGAGCAGGGGTCTGCTGACAATGGGACATGAGAGAGATACAGCGGTAAATCACAGGTCAAGACAAGTTGGAGGGGTGGTAACCAAAGAAAAGCAGGGAGGGAGACTCCTGCAGAAGACAGGAGACCAGGCTGGAGCCAGAGGCAGAGAGAGAGGGGGAGGAGCCAGCATCTCTGAGTGAGGGGAGCTGGCTGGCGCTCACTGGCCCCTCCAAATCTGCCTTCCCTATGCCTCAAACCCCTAGACTCCTTCTCAGACCCTTGGAAGCCTCGGAGCCTTGGTGACTGACCTGCCCAAGCCCCAGACGCCCCTCCTCTTTCATCCCACCAAGCGTCACACATCCTCCCAGGGCCATCTCCACTCACCTGGCCAGAGCAGCATGTAGAGGTCAGGTCTGGAATTCCTTTTTGTCCAGTGTTCCCCCAGGCCCACACTGCCTTCTCTGCATGGACCGAATCATGGTCAAGGGCAAAAGTCATGGGCTAAAGCCATAACCCCCAGTGAGACTGTATTTGGACACTGGGATTTTAAGATGATGATTAGGGTTACAGGAAGTGAAGCCTTGGACTTCCCTGGTGGTCCAGTGGTTAAGAATCTGCCTCCCAATGCAAGGAATGCTGGATTGATCCCTGGTTGGGGAAGTAAGATCCCACCTGCCTAGGGGCAACTAAGCCCACACACTGCATCTAGAGAAAGCTTGCGAACCAAAACAAAGAGCCCATGGGACCCTCATCTAGTGGGATCGCTGTCCTTATAAAAAGAGCCACCAGAGACCTCTGTCTCTCTCTGCACACACTCAGAGGAAAGACCAGGTGAAGATGCAGCAAGAAGGTGGCCATCCACAATCCAGGAAGAGCAGCCTCACCAGGAACCTTGGAAGACTTTGATCTTGGACCTCCAGCTGCCAGGAGTATTTGTTATGGCAGCTGGAGCAGACTAAGTCCTCTTCCTCCCTCATACCTGCCAAGTCTTCCCTAGACGTCCCCCTCCTCCAAGGTTCTTGCCACATCCCTTCATCCTCTGACCCTTAGGCCTTGACTGGATTCCATGGCAGCTTAGACTGGAATACCATAGGTTTAAAAATATATATATTTGTGCCTTTTCATTGAAGTTCACTGATGCATAGATATTTGAGCTAGGAGCTCAGATTCCTGAAGGGGACTAAAGTCTGGACTTTTTGGCTAAAAATGGAAAGTTTCTTGCTGTCTTTATTCAGTCTTGCATAGGACTTCTATTAGAACTGAACATTTCATAATATCATGGAGTGGGGAGGGGATTGGGGGAGAACAAAACCTTCTATTACACACAAGATGAAGAAGCAATTTGACTCATGTGGGCTTTTAATTAAATAGGGTAGGGGAAAAAACACAGAGTCTATTTAGGCATTATGGAGGGTAATTGTTTGAATTGTATTTTTTTATTGAATATATATTTTTTTATTTGTTGAACAATAACATTTCAGGCTACAGAACGCTTAATTTCCATGGTGCTAATTAAAACCAGCACATGTGTATCTAAGTGATTTGTCTAGACAACGGACCAGGCAAGCTGCGATCTATTCTTTTTTATGGAATAATCAGTTCTCTTCAGTTAAGATTTCTTTGTGTGTTGCTGAATTTAATAATGCGTTTCATTAAAATTCAGTTCTGTACTCCATCAAAAATTTGCATTTCATTATTGCTGAGCACCCATCAGCCTGCAAGCTGCCCCCTGGGGCCGAAGAGTTGATTGACCAGAAGGCTCAGGCCTCCTCCTCCTGTCTAAATAAACTGTGCCTGGAAGTCGAGTGCAGGAGGTCAGCCTGGTGGGAGTGAGTATTGGATGGAGAAGTAGGTAGAAAACATAACAATTTAAAATGGATTCATCAGGAAACTTCTTTTTTTTTTTTTTGCCCCAGCTCCTGAGCTTCCTTTTTCTTTTCTATGGCTCAGTTTTTCCATCTCAAAATGGAAGTAGTGACCTTTCCCTTCTGAGTAAAAGATTTCATATGGAACAGGACTTCCCTGGTAGTCCAATGGCTAAGAGTTTGAACTCCCAGCGCAGGGGGCCCAGGTTCCATCCCTGATCAGGGAATTAAATCTCCCATGCTGCAAAGAAGATCTTGCATGCTGTGAGTAAGACCTAGTGCAGCCAAATAAGTATTTTAGGAAAAGATCTCACAAGGAACAAATAAAATAATCGGCGTGAATAACCTTTACGAACGATAAGATGCTGAAAATGTGAAGGCAAAGGGAGGAAGGAACAGGGAGGCAAGGGTCACGGAAGGCAAGTTTGACTTCTTGGGTCCAGTCCTGCTGCGGGGTGACCCTTTGTGTATGCACACCCCACCCCCCAGCTCCGTTCAGGTATGCCTCATCCAGCTCAGGCTCCGGGTAGGAAGGCTGTGGATGTGACAGGGCACAGCCCAGATGTGTAGAATGATGTCAAAGAATTGAGATGCATGCAGCTGCCCTGGAGGCTGGAATAGGACCCCGTATGGGCCGGACATGGAGTTGCTCTGACTTTCTTAGGGAAAAGGAAAATGCCACGACAACATAGGCACCACCTGATGCGAAGAACTGACTCATTTGAAAAAACCCTGATGCTGGGAAAGACTGAAGGCAGGAGGAGAAGGGGATGACAGAGGATGAG